TAAACAGTTGACGGGAACAAGGGAGCTAACCTGGTTTCCTGGTAGATGTTAACTTTAATGTAGGCTGTGCCTACTTTCTAGTATCAGAAATTTCTCTTTGGAATCAGTAACATCAACTGGTGTTCTCACACATGGTACATTCTCTCCAGGGTGTTCAAAAAGCTTAAAGATTTGATGTTATCATTCAAAGGAAACAAGTGACCAGTATATCTCCTGTTACTGCTTGTGGACCTTGGCTTGTATGAGAAACCTTCATTCATTAAACAAAGCTTGTCTAACTTGAAGAAATATTGAGATATTCATACTAGATCCTTGTTAGAACCTCAGCCTTCAAGCTACAGGAAATGTATTTGAGAATATTGATTTTTTTTGTTTAACATTTTCTTAACATAAGCTAATATTATCTTGAAATAATGTATGTGTAGTCTATAACTATTTTTAAAAAAAGGGTTGTTGAATACATACAATTTATGTTTGAAAGCCTGTGTTATCTAGCACCAGGTTTTGAAATGTTCTACTCTGCTGAATTAGTCACTTTTCTCATACTGCCTAAGTTTTATTAAATTATTGAGCTTTGAGGAAATGGGGTGGGGGGGGGAATAACACTGGTGGTTTTAGTGTTAAAAATTTAGGTTTGAGCTCTTTTTTACTGCAGAATGAATCAATATGGATTTCTTTTAAACCAGTGAAAGCAAAACCAAACTCCCCTTAAAAGGCCACCACCACTACCAAAAATACCCCAGACCCACCACCAAATAAAAAATCCCTGAACATAAGAACAAAAAACCTGAAAGAAAACCACTTGGCCTTCTGGGTTGTGACTTCTTTGCTGTTACACTGTGTAAGAAATTCTTCCTGTCGTCCACCTTTTACGGTGCTTCCTTGAGAGGATGTGCTGTAGGAAAGGGATGGTAATGGGAGGCCCCAGTTGCTGACATAGCAGTCATGACAGGGTTGTCCATAGCAGTCTAAACTTAATGGGACTGGGACCTGGGTGCAGAGGTGACAAACTTGGGCTTGGGGATGTGATCAACGGTTAAAAAATCATCTCAAATGCCCCCAGAATTTCGTCTCTCAACTCACTTGCTGTTGATTACTTTGGTCCAATTATCTTTTTTTTTTCCTGTTCAGGTAGAATGAGACTCTTAATGTGATCAGCATCAAATTACTGAGGCTATATTTTCGGAGTCAGTGTACTCAATTTATACAAGAGTTGAAGTAGCTACTCCCAAGACTGAAATTTTATGTTGATTTTTGTTTCATTGCTGGCAGTGGAAAACCACTGATGGCAGTCACCTTGACTTTGCTGGGTAGGAAAGCTATGAGAAGAAGTAAATATGCTGTAGCTTTTGGTCTGTTCTCATACACATTTTCTTAGCCATATCTCTTGTGTTCACTGTTTAAGAGTTTACATTAGCTCTGGTGCATGTCTTGACTCTTTCAAGATGTGCATTTATAGGATTTTTAGTGCTTTTCTTTTCTTCCTCAAATTCATTTCCTCTAACCAGAAAGAGAAGGATATGCTCTACTTCCAAGACACGGTCCATCCTTGTATGGCTTCTAGTTTGATTTAACAACTTATCGAATGTATTTCTCCCCCTTCCACCTCATCTGACTATTAGTTTCTTTTCCTCTGTGGTCAAAAGTACTGGAAAGGGCTACTTGCTTTTGCTGTATATTTTCCTGGTGTTTAATTCCTTATTCATAGAAAGTCATTCCCATCTTTTTTTTTTTTTCTTTTCAATTCCATCAAGTGCTACTTCTCACATAAGTGCCACCTGTGCTTGACACAAAGCCACCCATCTTGCACTGTTGTCTGGGGCAGTCATGCTGTGGTGGTCATGCCTAAACCAAGATTTTATTGAGAGTGGATGACCAGCATGGATGGATTTGATAATGATGTTGGCTCTGAGGTGTTTCTTTGGAAAAGATTGTTTCTAAGAAGTCTTCTGGCAAAGTAAAGTTTCTGTGTCTTTTCTCATACCTGTAGTTGACAGGGATGTACAGTTGACAGCGAGGAGGGCTCTGAGGGATCACTGCCTATTTGCATGCAGAATTTCAAGGCTGAACTCTGACTTTTCGTTATTTTTGATCTCTCAGATGAGATATGTAAGCCTACCTTACTCTAAACTCCAGATTACTGTCTGCATATAGGCTGTCAAAACCAAGCCCTGCTAGTTGTGAGACACAGTTTCTTATATCCGTTCCCTTTTGAATAGAGGCTTGAGAAGGGAAAGAATAGACATGTTGGAACTTCTGTTTGGACTTGGGGTATCCCTCTGTTATCTCTATCCTTGAAACACCCCTTTTTTATTTCATGCATGAGACTTCTGTAAATGCTTCTTGCTGGTTATTCCGTTGCTGCTTGGGAGGAAGGGGGTCTTGGAGCAAAAAGAAATTGTATCCCTGTATTAGTCTGATACTCCTGAAATACTTGTCTTGTTTGGAGGAATACGTTCCTTACATGGTGCCTTTTGTATACTGGGATATGTAAAATCAAATTCTTAAAATTGGAGAATTCAGGTTTAATCACTTCTTTCTGATCATTTGTTTGGACATGGATGGGGCATGACAATGAGTAATGTTTTTAACCTGGTGAGTTCCTTTTACTGGATGTAGAAAGTTTAATGTATTTGTGCTTTATAATAAATGACAGCTATGACCTGGGCTAAATTACTAATCTTTTATCTGAATTGACAGTGCTTGAGGAGAGATGGGCAGAATGAATCACTGCTGTATCTGACGTGTGTGAGGAGGTTATATTAAATGACTAATGATTTAATCTTTTTCCCAAAAAGTTTTCCGAGACTGGGGTGGCATAGAAGAAAGTGGGAGCAGAAGATGAAGTTGTTCTTATAAAAGCTGTGTGTTAGCAGAAGTATTTCCGCATAATAAATGACAAATAATATTTTGTGATTTTTGTTTTTCTTCTATGCAGATTAATGGTGCAATGTAGGAAACCTCTAAAGGTTTCAGATGAACTGGTGCAAAAGTATCAGAGTAAAAACCAGTACCTAGCAGCAGTAGCAACGGAAGCTGACCAGGAACCTGAAATTGATCCTTATGCCTTTGTTGATGGTGATGTGGAATTCTTATTCCCTGATAGTAAAAAAGATAGGCAGAACATTGAGAGGGAAGCTGGGAAGAAACACAAGGTGAGTAAAGGAGTGAGGATACAAATCAGTGATGAGATTAAAACAAATTGCTTTAGTCACCAAATATAATTTAAATCCTTCTCTGTGTATTTAGAAGTACATTAAAGAAAATTGTATTCTAGCAGAAATGATCAATGAAATGATGCAGCATGCCTCTAGCTACACCTAAAATGTTTTTGGCACACTGGTGGTGTTATTGCATTAGGGTTTATGGCTTATGCTGGGAGAACACTGCTGGAGCAAAACAAAAATCAATCTGTCTCTCTAGCCTTTCTGTAGAAATGGGTGATGGCAGGTGCTTGGGGAAGAGAGGAGGAATGAGGCAAGTACTTTGTCCACGTGTGGAAGGGTTTGGGGGTAGGCGAGGTGAACTCTGGCAAGTTGCCTGGACAGTGAATTTAAATTTTTCCTTCCCCTCCTCCCCACCCTCAGCCTTCACTTTAGCTGGTACCAACCGAAAGCAAAAGTACCCCCTCCAAGAAAGGAGAAAATATACCTGCATTGGGAGCCTGTACATTACATTTGCTTATTTGGGAGTAGTTGTGGGTGTATGCACTCCTGATACTGAGTTTAATTTAGTAAGTAGTATAGCTAATGTGCAGCATTTAATAGGAAGTGTTTTTCAATAAGGTGGTGTAGGAAGAAGTCACAGCTTGCTTTTTAAGTTTATCCCCAACACAAAATCTAAGATTTACATTCTTATCCATGCTCATCACCTGTGTGTGGCTGGCATGTCATCTGTGTTCTGACTTTTCTTCTCTCTGAGTAGATCCCTAACCAGACCCCCAGACTATACCTTGCTGAGCTAGAAGGCTAATGAGAACCTGATACATCTGATATATACAAGAATTCCCACAGGGACATAAATGCCTCCCACCTTGCCAATTAATTTAAGTAAACTCTTGGACTTTTTTTGTTTGTTTGCCTTTTAATAGGCTGAGGATGGGACATCTGGTGTTACAGTTTTAGCCCATGAAGGAGAGGATGCTATGTCTCTATTTAGTCCTTCTGTCAAGCAAGGTAAAGAGATTTTTTTTTTTTCTTTTTGTTTTCTCTTTTAATTGTGCTATGTTAATGATCTCTTGAATATTCAGTAGATTCTAATAGACAGCTAAGATTTTACTTTATGGTTTGTATTTCCCTGTCCCTTCAGAATTAGAAATCTGTCTGGAACACGTTTTTTGGTTGCACCTTGCAAATAAATGTTGTCTATAAAATCCAAATGTGCCATGCCCACTGTGGAAATAGTTCTTAAGATGTCTTTATTTTTTAAAATGAATATATATTGCCAGTATTTTTCTAAGGTTTGTTTTGCTTTGTAGATGCCCAACGTATTGCTGCTCATGCTCGCACTGCATCAACTAGCCTATTCCATGAAACAGATTTGGTGGTCTCTTATACTGACCTTGACAATCTCTTCAATTCTGATGAAGATGAACTAACAGTAAGTGATGTTCAAAAGCAAGGTCAGCTGCTAGACAAAAAGCTGCGAGGAACAAATATGTCTCTTAGGGTTTGGGTTGGTTTTTTTTTTGGCATTTGTAGGAGATAGCAAAACATGCGCATAAGCAAGTGCTGTAGCTCCTCTTTAGCAGATGTACTGTTCTAGTTGACTTATACAATCATCTTTTTGATACAAACGAGCTTTTGATCTTACATCCTTACTATCCAGACAGCATATACTTCTTGAATATACCTCTAGGTATAATTTTACAGATTCAACAGTGGTACTAGTGCTCTTTTCCTATGATCTAGGTTCTGTTTCACTAGTCGATAAAAGTAATACCAAAAAACCCCCAAAACTTCTGAAAGAGGCATTTAAACATGTGGACATTTTGCCAAGTAAGTTGCTTCTTTGCAGCAATTATCTTGGAACAGTTTCTCTTGCAGTCTCTGATGGCTCTGAATCCATTATCTTTCTAGTTTCTATTTCAATACTGTTTGTAATCAGTTGTCTTTTCCAAACTGTACTTTGCTCCATGCTTAATCCTAAATCCCCTTACCCAGACAAAATGCTCATCAACTTTAATGGGAGCTGTAGCTGAGTAAGGGCTGAAGGATCTTAATAGCCATCAAAGGTCATCATTATATAAAGCAAGTGGATTTTCTCTTAAACATGAAGACTTTTTATTTTCTATAGCTGTTAGTACTGTCTAAACATTGTAAAATGTATCTCTTGTTCTTTGAATTTCAACAGCTTTTCTTCCCTGTACTTCTTGTTCCAGGATTTGTGTTTCTCTGTGTTTCTATTCCTGTTCATGTGGTAACATCAGTAATGTTAGCATGGCTTTGGGAGCGTGTATGTTTTTCCTGATAGATTGTGGGCAGCCCTATTCAGCTTTTTTTAATTTGTCTGCTAACAGGCTGAGAGTTATTTTATAACTGGTCTTTCATTTTATTAGCATCGTGATTTGATAGGAGAGCATTCTCTGAGTTACAAGTATTAAGGGAGGACAGATGTAACCCCAGCTACTAGCACTGGGCTTCTGATTTATTTTAATTTTTTTGAGTATTATACAAAGCCTCAGCTTTGTATGTCCACTACACATGAAGTTTCCTGTTAGCAGGAAATACAAGCATGTGTTCATGTCTGCAGTGATTTTATTACAATACTACTTTTCTCTCTTAGCCCGGATCTAAAAGAACAGTGAATGGCACTGATGACAAATCCAACTGCAAAGAGGCAAAAGCAGGAAATCTAGACCCACTGTCATGCATAAGTAAGCTTTATTTGGTTTTGGTGGTGTTTTTCCCCCCCCTCCCCAAATGGAATACTAGCTCTATAAACATTTGACTACTGATAAGTTGTGGGAATTTGGGAACATGTGCTTCATTTCTCCTACTGAAATTTTGAGACATAGGAAACACTTCCAAATGTTTTTATGCTCTAAAGCCTACTTCTAATCTGAAATTAGGCACTGCAGATCTCCATAAAATGTATCCAACTCCACCTTCACTGGAACAACATATTATGGGATTTTCTCCAATGAACATGAATAATAAGGAATATGGCAGTATGGACACTACACTTGGAGGAACAGTACTTGAAGGGAGTAGCTCGAGTGTGGGAGCTCAGTTCAGAATTGAAGTAGATGAGGGGTTTTGCAGCCCCAAACCTGCTGAAATAAAGGTAGGTAGAGCTGATAGTCCTGATAAATGTTTCTAATAGTTGTTGTTCTGCTTATTACGTATCCTGAATGTGAACTCTGGAAAATTAAGTACAATTTGTAACTTGTGTTTTGCATTATACTGGGGTAGATGATGCACTTCTATTAAGAAGTATATAGTATTTTACAACTTAAACATCGAGAAAGAGTAATACACAATTATCCATTAGTAAGCTGAAGGAATTCATCAGAGTAATTGCAGTTCCTTGTTTGTTTTGTGTTGGCATATTGCTTTTTGGAGAGCCATGGGTGTGAGTGACGTGCGTATACATCTGACTTTCTCTTTTGAAGCTGTATCAGGATTTAATATTAAAGAAACACTGCTTGAATTTAGTCGTATTTTTTTGAGAAGTGTTTTGATTGTCAGAGTGATCTGATTTCCATGCTGATGTTCTACCATGTCTCACTTTTAGGATTATTCTTATGTTTATAAACCCGAGAATTGTCAAGCTTTAGTGGGATGTTCCATGTTTGCACCACTGAAGACGCTTCCCAGCCAGTGTCTTCCTCCCATCAAACTGCCAGAAGAATGCATTTATCGCCAGAGCTGGGCTGTGGGAAAGTTGGATTTACTTCCTCCAGGACCTGCCATGCCATTCATCAAAGATGGGTATGACCTGTGCCACAGATGTTTAAGCTTTGGGAAGTGGTCAGTTGTCCACACCATAGGAAGAACCCCTAAATTTTACTTATTTATTTTTTTGGTACCTCTGTAATGAGGAATGTCCCTAAAGACAAGCTGTGTTTCTACAACTGACGAGAGGCTTCACAAAAATCCTTATGGTTAAACCTCACTGTAGGAAACTGTCTTCTCAAATAGCTTCTTAACTGTGCATACATTTTATTTTGTTGTCTCATTTAAAGGTTTCTTGGGGAAGCTTAATGGTGCAAGTCCAGTTTTAATAAGTAATGAAGATGGTAACAATCAAGATAAATGTAAACTTGGGACTTTGTTTTTTGCGGTGGTGTTGTAGGTACTGTGAGGGCTTAGTAGGTGGTGCTTCTGTTTCTTAAATTATTTTCTTAAATAGCAGTACTTGGCTGCACTGGGAAACATTTCCTTTGATTGGAAGCTCTGCCCAGTGTGACATTGCCTGGTAACAGGAGTATTGCAGTAGGCATTTCTGTAATCTGCATTCGGGAGTGATGGTCTAGCTTGCAGTTCTTGAAGAAAATATTTATTCCTCTTCTGCATTACTAGCTGGTATAAACGGATTAGGCAACAAGGAGGCTATGCATGTGTTGATAAAATCACATGAATATTAAACCTTGGCATTAATAGTGACATTCCTTTGGTTAGGGTCATTCATAACCAGTATGTTTCCAGGTCTCATTAGCCTTGTGGGTCTTTGGAGATACTCAGCTGCTTAGGAGAGCAAATGTTAAACATTTCCAGGTGATACTTTCCTCATGAATCCAGCTGAATCTGTTGCTGTGATAGACCCAGTATGTTTTCTTAGTGTGTGTCAACATGACGTGTAAATAAAACATGAACAAGAAAGGTGTCCTTTAGACTCTGTACAACCATAGAATTTATAATTTATTCTGGCCACATTTGTTCCCTGGAAGCTTTGTGCAAAGGAAAAGACGAAAGGAGGTGGGGAAAGATTCTTAAACAGTGCTGTCAGTGGGAGTCCTGCAAAGTCATTTGGAACAAATGTTCTTGGAGTTCCTTAGGGAGTGAAAATCTTGCTGTGGATTATGAAAAGCTAGTTTAAAAAAGCAAATATTAATTAGGAAGGTCCTTCCTTAGTAATTTGAGACTTAAACTTCAAAACCAGTATGTTTTATACTTAAAGTATTTCCTCCTTCTTCTGGCTGCTCTTAGTGATGGAAGCACTATGGATCAAGAGTATGGCCCTGCATACACACCACAAACTCATACTCCATTTGGGATGCCACCAAGTAGCGCACCTCCCAGTAACAGTGGAGCTGGAATTCTCCCTTCTCCTTCCACCCCTCGTTTCCCAACTCCTAGAACACCAAGGACTCCTCGAACCCCTCGTGGGGCTGGTGGACCTGCAAGTGCACAGGGTTCAGTCAAATATGAGAACTCTGATTTATACTCACCAGCTTCCACACCATCAACATGTAGACCGCTTAATTCTGTTGAACCTGCAACTGTGCCTTCCATTCCAGAGGCACACAGTCTTTATGTGAATCTCATCCTCTCAGAGTCTGTAATGAATCTCTTCAAAGACTGTAACTTTGACAGCTGCTGCATATGTGTTTGCAATATGAACATCAAAGGTGCTGATGTTGGAGTTTACATTCCTGATCCAACACAAGAGGCCCAGTATAGATGTACCTGTGGTTTCAGTGCTGTTATGAATAGAAAATTTGGCAACAGTTCTGGACTGTTTCTTGAAGATGAATTGGATATTCTAGGACGTAATACAGAGTGCGGCAAAGAAGCAGAAAAACGCTTTGAAGCTCTCAGAGCTACTTCTATTGAACATGGCAGTGGAGGACTGAAAGAGCCTGAGAAGCTGCCTGATGACTTAATACTGCTGCTGCAGGATCAGTGCACCAACTTGTTCTCACCGTTTGGAGCAGCAGATCAAGATTCCATTCCCAAAGTTGGTGCAGTTAGCAACCTGGTACGTGTAGAAGAAAGGGATTGTTGCAATGACTGCTACTTAGCCTTGGAACATGGACGGCAGTTCATGGACAATATGTCAGGAGGGAAAGTTGATGAAGCACTTGTGAAAACTACTTGCTTGCACCACTGGTCAAAAAGAAACGGTAAATATTGAAACCAGCCTGTTTTCTACTAATCCACCTATGAATGTTTTCTTAAGGGTTTGGTTTTTGTGTTTTTGCTTAAGGCTGTTTTTTCCACCTGTGTGCTTGCATAAACCTCTATTTTAACAGTGTTGAGAACAACCATTTCTTTTATGTTCTGTGCTGTACACTGCACCAAGCAGAGTGCAGGCCTTGGCTGCTGTCAGTTGTAAATTTCTAAGTGTAATGTAAGACCACGGTAACTGTCCACAACACTTCATGAGGCTTATTCTTTTAGAGAAGCTTTTGGTGACTGCATCCACAGACGCTCTGTGGAATGAGTGTACATAGGAAGCGTAGGCGGTTCAAATGGTGACTGTACTGTCAAGGCTACTGTGGCAGAATTAAACAAGATCTATGATACAGTTGGCTTTCTCCTTCTTGAGGGTGGGTAGAACAATAATTTAATGGCATGTGTGGCAAATAAAGCATTTGTGTAGCCTTCACTGTACGTTGGATCTGCCAGAGATCCTTGAATTTTTCCTTCTAGGGTCTAACTAATGGTACGATGTGTCATGGAATACTCTTTACTGAGTGTATTTGTGTACTTCTCTCAATAATAGCCCTTTCAAGTAGCAATTCTGGCAGGGTCAACAGTGAAATATGAAACTTCGGTAGCAGTTAGCTGCAGTTCCTAGTTGTTAATGAGGATGAGGAGGACTAACAGTAAAACACAGCTAGGTTTCTGTGTATCGGTGGAGGTTAAATTTAAAACCCCAGGCTATAGATGTTTTCAGGTACCCACAAGACTCAGTGTTACTGTGACCTTAGTACTTAGGATGAAAATATGTAAAGATACTTTTAAACAGAAGGCTATGAAATTATAGCCATACCAAATTTTGTGTCAGCTTTTTATTGTTAAACACTGCGTGCATTAAATGCCATAGTGGTGGCAAGCTGATGAAATAGGCTGTAACTGTTTGATGCTTCCCTTGACTTCTGTGAAGTGATCACTTGGTGGCAGTCTGCCTAACCCTCCTTTATTTGGAGAGGAGGTCCTGTAGTTTAAGGGTTATACAACTTGGTCTTATGCTTGGGGTTTGTTTTATTATTATTTTTAATTTTAGGGTTTTTTTTCCCCGCAGTTTAAATCAAGCTGGTAAAGCTTTCAGGGGAAAAACTCTACGTGGAAAAAATAATAATAAAAATAATCTGTTTTTGATAAGTGGCTGAGAGGGGAAGAAGAAGAATTCTAAGTCTATGGGCTTAGCTTTTTATACCATGGCCTTTGGGTGGCCTGTGTGTACGTTTTGGAAGAGAGTGATTCAGTTTAGAATCAAGGTGATTTAGGATTCTGAGTTGTTTGTGGAGAGCTTTATTGTATCCTGTTGTTGCAGTAGGCCTTGACGACTCTTCTGTCCTTGCAGTTGTGGATGTGAGCATGCAGTGTTCCCAGGACATCCTCCGCATGCTCCTCTCGCTCCAGCCCGTTCTTCAGGATGCAATTCAGAAGAAGCGGACGGTCCGGTCCTGGGGTGTGCAGGGGCCCCTCACGTGGCAGCAGTTCCACAAGATGGCTGGCAGAGGCTCTTACGGTAAAGCGCTGCCCAGTAGAGTCCTGTCTGTTCACCTCTGCTTGTTCTGGCCACCGAACCTCGGGGTCTGGGTGCTGTGCAGCCTGTTGGAATTCTAAATGGCATTTGTGACCTTTCTCTAAACCAACAAGAGCTATTAGAGAGGGGGGAATTCTCTTTAGAAAAACATTTATATTCTTTAAAACAGTAAACGAATTCAAGATGTGTATTTAAAACTAACAGCTTCAATTGCACTGTTTATGTACACCTGACACTTCTCCAAGTGAGGGGCTGAGATTGCAAAGATGGATTTAATGTTAAAAACAGAGTAATTGCTCTGGGGTTTTTTACTCAAAAACAGGTCTCAATTTTAATTACTCTAAAAATAGCATAGTTAAAAATACTAGCTTTGAAATGCTTGAAAAAGCATGCTTTATTGCTTAGTAGTTCCAGAACTATGTTGAGATCTGAGGTTACCCAGTGTGTTGTCTCTGATAAATCCTGGGAGTGGCCAACATGTCATGCACGTTTACAGATACAAAAACAAATACTGTGCATTTGAGTGTTAAACTGACTTCATTAGCATATGAGATTGATTTACCACTGTGTAGAAGAGTGACCTTTAACCAGCAGATCTTTTGTAGCTATATTTAGAACACAGCAATTATGCGTTTACATGTACTGTAAATGCATGTTCTTCAGTTCTGGTTTGTTTCCCTTCTGTGGTCCTTTACGTATCTGCTTTGACTGTGTACATTTCTTCCCTCTCGTTTTTTGATCACCAATTACTTGGGCTCTTCTCTTGGACAGAAAGATCTGTTCCTGATTGTCTGTATACTGGTAGAAATGGTAAACAACTGTGGAACTTCTTCTTGAAGCCCCAAGAGATTTCAAATGAAAACAATTAGCTGATGCTTTTTTGCAGAGGGTTGGATCATACATGCAGGTTTCAATTTGTATCTGTTAAAACGAGAACTGTTCCATTTATAACCAGCACTACTTCCTGCTAGATGCTGGGAATGCTCATGTTTTTTCTGTTCGTGTTTCCTAGAAGCAGGGTGTTAATTTTAAGCTTTCTGCTTAATATATTGGAAAATGTTTCTTGCTTTTCCAGGAACTGATGAGTCCCCGGAACCACTGCCAATCCCAACATTTTTGTTGGGATACGATTATGATTTTCTGGTGCTGTCTCCATTTGCATTGCCGTATTGGGAGAGGCTGATGCTGGAACCTTATGGATCTCAAAGAGATGTTGCTTATGTTGTGGTGTGCCCTGAGAATGAGGCTCTTCTGAATGGAGCAAAAAGCTTCTTTAGGGATCTGACTGCAATATATGAGGTACATTATTTATGGCAGTTAGCAGTGAGATGGATTTTTTTGAAAGACTGTGGCTAATACATACTCATAACTACTTACCAGGCTTGTCTCAGATAATATAAACACTTGCATGGAATGCTATCTCGGAAAGCTGCTAGAAAGGATTTTAGGAATGGGCACTTGGAAAATAAAGGGTTGTTAGTGCTGCTCACTGTTCCTTTTAGTAGTAGCCGTTTTGAGTCTTTCTCTGATAAACGCCACTCAGTGGTAAACCTCTGTATTACCACTTCAATTGTTTTGGCTATAATTAATTAATTAAACGCATGTAACGCTTAGATTGTGATTAAAATTAGAGTAGATGATATATGGACTGGTTTTCTTGCATTTGGGAAAACCTGAAAATAAATTATAAAATCACTATACAATATTTCAGATTGGTAGAGTATTCTAGGGTTAAAATGTTACTTTGGAATATCGTAGCTAAACTATGAGTTCTCTGTCTTTGGAGACCTATGATCCTTTGTGTCATATTTAACATTTTTAAGGCTTACAAGTTCCTTATCTTGCCTCTTCTTTTTCCTTCTCTGCAGTCATGCAGGCTTGGTCAGCACAGACCTATCTGTAAGTTACTGCCTGATGGGATCATGCGAGTTGGACCTACTGCTTCAAAGAAGCTTTCTGAGAAGCTGGTCACAGAGTGGTTCTCACAGACTGCTAATGCCAACAATGAAGCGTTTTCCAAACTCAAACTATATGCTCAAGTTTGCAGATACGAGCTGGGTATGAAATTTTTATTGGTGTTTCTTATTTCATACAATTACCACTTAATCCATTCCAGTAGAGGGAATATTGTCTTATTGTTTGTTGTGGTTTCTGGTTTTAAGCTTGGGGGGGAAAAAAGCCCATTCAAACCCCTGACATACTCAGATACATGCTAAAATGGCTTCTTACCATCTATTGGTATCTTCAGGGAATGGCAGTTTTGCTGCCTGACAGGGACTTGGATTGTCTTTGTGCACTGAAAAAGAAAATGTTTTAAAAAATAGATTTCTGGGTACTTCTGAAAGAGTCTTACAAGACTACTGGAATTTGAAAATTTAATATAGGTATTTTAATTAGAGAGGTAAAATATATGCTGAAGGTTTGCTCTCAGTTTTGTTAAAGTTACAGGCTTACATAGATGAAGTATGCTTAAAAACAGCTGCAATATAAAATTTATGTTCTTTTCTGGTTTTAGGTCCTTATCTTGCCTCTCAGCCTTTGGACAATTCTTTACTTTCCCAAATAAATCTGGTCCCTCCCTCCAGCCAGCCAGCCTCTGCTCTGCCCCCAGTGACAGCTAACACTGGAAATCCTAACACTCCATCATCTGCTCCTGCAGCTCCCACCAGTAGTACTATTACAGTGACATCAAACAGTGCCATGTCTTCTGCAGCTACTACAGCTAATTCGACATTGACTACCACTGCCCCATCGTCCTCTTCTGCCAACCTAGGCAGTGGGATCCCAACAAGCAAGCCTTCTTCATTTCCACCTTTTAGCAGTATGAACAATACCACTTCTGCCTCCCTGCCCACTCAGGCTGCAACAGTCCAAAATGGGCAAACAGGAGGACAGCAGCAACAGCCAACACTGCAAACAGCTGGGATGTCTGGAGATGCTACTTCAGCGCCTGCACAGCCCCACCCAGAAGTTTCTGAAAGGTAATGAACTGCAGAGTCGAACCTTCTTTGGCTAAAAGAGAACCCCTCAGCTCAACTAACATGAACCTGCTAATGCTGCTCTTGTCCCTTCAGTAAAAATCCTGTATTTCTTTTCTAGCCACAGGGCTGGAGAGAGGGTTCATTTGTAGTGGAGCTGAACGTTTTGGTTCTAGTCTTAGCTGCTCTTCTAATAGTATCTCAGTGTCTGCTGTGGTACAAAAATAAACTTCAAAATTCACCAAACTACTCACTGGTAGCATCTTTAAGTTCTATTTTCTGTTATCAAAGTTATAGTAATAAAGACAGCTTGTACTGAGAGACCAACCTGGTAAATGCTCTTGTTCACCAGTTAAAGCAATAGGGCTATGTGCTGTTGAGCTTCTGTAATAAAGAAGGCTAAAGAAAAGCAATGCTGAGTTGCTGATAAGTTTGGATATGAGAGTTAAATAAAAAGACTGTTTCTTACACCACAGTTGATTCAAAGGTCTTTCAGATTAATAGTTGACAATTTGATCTTAGTTTTAAAGTAAATCATTATAAAACTTGGCTTTTTGTAACTGGTTTCAAAATTTCATTTCCAGCACTATGGATCGTGATAAAGTTGGAGTCCCTACAGATGGAGATTCACATGCTATCACCTATCCACCTGCAATTGTAGTTTACATTATTGATCCTTTTACATATGAAAAAAAGGATGAGAACAGCAGCTCATCTAGTTTATGGACACTTGGACTTCTGCGCTGCTTTTTAGAGATGGTTCAGGTTCTTCCTCCTAACATCAAGAACATAATTTCTGTGCAGGTGAGCCAACGTTTATAAAAACATGCTGAATAAGATATCTTTGGCTTTGGCTGTGTTTTGGAGGCTATAACACCCTTGAGGTGAAAGTTTCATTTAATTTGTAAACATTACTTACAGTTCTACTGCTGTTAAATTATGAGGATTATAGTTTTTTAGAGCAGTTTGGGTGTTAGTAACCAAAGCCAAATCCTGTAGTAGACTCCAAACTAATCAGTCTTATCTCAGAAGAAGTGTAGTGGCACACTCCAATAATGAGTGAGGTGCAGGAAAGCTGCTGGTCACATCACTGGAATCTGTGCTGCTGGCCTGACCCTGCTGGGTGTTAGTGCTCCTTCCTGATCCAACTGTAGTGTTGTCAGCAGCTGCAGAACTAGTTTTTCTCTGAAGAAAGGAGAATAATTGCTTGAAGTCCCACATAGCTTTGGAGGAAGTGGCAGGAGATAGCCAAGATCCAGAGAAATTTGATTGCCAAGTAAACTTCTAAAAGCTGCGTACCCAAATACTAGCTCAAAAGTCATTTTAATCTAATGATGAAACAGCAATTACTTTTTTTCCCCTCTGTAATCTGTTCTAGATTGTCCCGTGTCAGTACCTTCTCCAACCTGTGAAACATGAGGAGCGGCAGATTTACACTCAGCATTTAAAATCTCTGGCATTTTCAGCTTTTACTCAGTGTCGGAGACCTCTTCCAACTTCCACCAATGTGAAAACATTAACTGGCTTTGGCCCAGGTTTAGCCATGGAAACGGCTCTTAAGAGCCCTGATGTGAGTATTGTTAACATGGTTGTGTAAATATGCAGATCAGAGAAATGTCCCTGTTTATTAAATCACTAGGTCTTTCATGTTAACTAACTAGAGTTCTTAGGAATAATTGCTTCTCGAAACTTCATTGTCTGTTCTGTCATTTTTATAGAGACCTGAGTGTATTCGACTGTACACCCCTCCTTTTATACTGGCTCCAGTAAAGGACAAGCAAACAGAACTAGGAGAAACTTTTGGAGAAGCTGGCCAGAAGTATAACGTGCTTTTTGTAGGCTACTGTTTGTCTCACGATCAACGATGGCTTCTTGCATCTTGTACAGATCTCTATGGAGAACAGTTAGAAACTTGCATAATTAATATTGATGTACCAAACAGGTAAGAACAAAACTATTAAATAAATTTTTAGCATGTGTATCTTCATTCATTCCCCTGAATGATGCCGTTTATGATGCTGTAAGAATAACTGACTTCTGTAGACTCACTGTGTTGCAAAACTAGCTAAAGTAAATGGGTCGTTTCCATGTTACATGCATATTGGTTTGAGTTAAATTTAAATTTCTGGAAGAATGTTATTTAATTTCATGTGATTCTTGAGTGGTTTTGTATGTGCGTTCATATTCACACACACATCCCCCCCCCCCCCCCCCCCAAGCAGAAGTTGCAATTGATGTACTACAGTATTGCTAGGTTCTGGGATTGTTCAGGTTAATACAAATAAGTTTCAAACGTGGCAATAGAAACTTATTGCAGATGGGTTCTAGCTTTGTTTTCTCCTCTTTCTTAATTCTAGAGCTCGCAGGAAAAAGGGTTCTGCCCGCAGACTTGGTCTTCAGAAACTCTGGGAATGGTGCCTGGGACTTGTGCAGATGAGCTCTTTGCCATGGAGAGTTGTAATAGGCCGCTTAGGAAGAATAGGACATGGGGAATTAAAAGGTAACACTGGCATTTTTTAGAGTCTAAAACTTGATTTGAAGCTTTAAGTTTTCAATAATATGAAGTGTCTGTCCTGTTTCTGGAAGAAATCCTAAATAACTTGAGTTCCTTTCTGTATTCTGTATTAAGACTTGAAGTTTACACCATGCATTATTATATGTAAAATATGTATTGTGCAGCAAGCACTATTCTTCTAGACAAACTGTATCATTTTTTCCCTCAGACTGGAGTTGCTTGCTGAGTCGCCGAAACCTTCAGTCCCTTAGCAAGAGACTAAAAGACATGTGCAGAATGTGTGGTATCTCTGCTGCGGACTCCCCCAGCATTCTCAGTGCTTGTTTGGTGGCAATGGAACCACAGGGGTCCTTCATTATTATGCCAGGTATTTGACAAACTCTCTCTTCCTCTTTTTTGGCAAGAGAACTAATCATTTGGGGGTTAGCAAAACTAAGGAAATACTTGATTTCTCTTCCAAAGATTCTGTATCGACTGGCTCCGTATTTGGACGTAGCACCACTTTAAACATGCAGACATCTCAGCTGAACACCCCACAGGACACATCATGCACTCATATACTTGTGTTTCCCACATCTGCATCTGTGCAAGTAGCATCGTCAACTTACACCACTGAAAACTTGGATCTGGCCTTTAACACAAACAATGGTTAGTAGGTTGGATTTATTCTTCCTTTAAAACCAAACCCAAATAAAAACCCCCTTGTCAGTACCCCTATAATAAGACTTTTATTCTAATGAACCACAAGACTGATATGGAAAATCACTTGATTTTAGAATGCATTGTCATTTCCTATACAGTGTATAGAAATTCACTGAAATTCCCTGGTCTTGTTCTTTTTTCAAGATGGAGCAGATGGAATGGGAATCTTTGACTTGTTAGACACTGGAGATGATCTTGATCCTGATATTATAAATATTCTTCCTGCATCCCCTACTGGATCCCCTGTACATTCTCCAGGGTCCCACTACCCCCATGGAGGTGATATGGGCAAGGTAACTATTAGAGTAAAACCAGGGGTGTGTGTGTGGGGGGGTGTTTTGTTTTGTTTTTTTCCATCTGCTGATTTCTTTTTGTGGAATGAAAGGTTCCTACAAAATGTTTGAATCAATTTCATATTGGATTGTCTTTTCAAGATTCATGTACTGCTTGGGTATTTCAAACTGCTTTGTGTTTTGAAAGCTACAGATAATTCCTATAAAGTTTGTGCTGTCCTAATATTAAACCATTGCCTGTTGTTTTACAGGGTCAAGGTACAGATCGATTGCTTTCAACAGAATCTCATGATGAAGTAACAAATATACTGCAACAGCCATTGGCCCTTGGCTATTTTGTGTCAACTGCCAAAGCAGGTCCGTTGCCTGACTGGTTCTGGTCAGCGTGCCCTCAAGCACAAAATCAGTGTCCCTTGTTTCTTAAGGTACTGTAACTTAAGCCATCTTCCTGGGTAGCCTGTCATAGAAAGTTGTGCAGTGTGCAGGGATCTGAATTAAAAACACTATTATGTTCAAAACGAAGTTGGAGCATGTCTCTTGGAATATGTCTGCTTTAGCTTCAGGAGAGGTTGGGTGTTAAATTTTTGAGCTTTGGCTTTTTATGTTCACCTCTTTTTAAGTGAAGAAAAAGCATTAATGGAAGTAGCAGATGTTCCGGAGGGTTCTGCTCTTCCAATGGTTTCTTCACAGTAGTCTGGGCTCCTTTCTTTTTCTTGCTTTGTGTTACCATATTTTTAAGAATAGGTAGAGCTTCTAGACAGATCTCTGGTTAATGTCCCACTCCTGTGGGGACCAGTAGAGAGAGAAGACACAAGTGTCATGTAATATCTCCTTCACACTGGGTAAAAAAATAAAACTCTATTTATACAGTGCAGAAAACACAGAAGCCAGGTTTCCATGTTGGCTGCTGCCAAGCGATAGCCATTGTATCATCTGTCTGGATATTGTCTGATTCTTTTTATGGCACAGTCAAAACATACTTGGCACACTTAAAGGCTATACCATAATACACAGAGAAAATTTCTGTATTAGCATAATTCACTTTTGACTTAAATTAGGATCTCTAATACCATGCTTTATTTTCTAACAGTACAGATACATCTTCTGCAGCCTTATTTGTGTCTGGATTAGCCTTGGCCTAAGATCAGCTGTGGCTTTGGTATAAGATATATTTTTGAATAGAGGATTTATTATTTACCGTAAGCAGCTCTGTATATGGAATATAAATAGACCTGTCTTACGGAAAGCAACTGAACTTCCAAGTCCATATGTTACTGTATTTCTTGGGCCATTTCAGTTGCTTTTTTTTGTAATGATCACTTAATGTAACAAAGTGATTAAAATTTTTTTTCCTAAAATGTATTATACTACTAGTATTGTGCTTTCAGGAGAGATCTGCATGCATTTCCTTTATATCTGATAATTCCTGAACTTGTTGATGGCCTAAGCATAGGATTTGTTTTGGCTTGTGTGTCACAGAATAGAAGGTGACTGCAAGGTATGGGTCAATAACACAGAGGGAAGAAAATACGCTGTAGTTGAATGAGGCAGTAACTGCTGGCATCTTCCTTTCTTTCTCAGGCCTCTTTGCACCTCCACGTGCCTTCAGTGCAATCAGACGAGCTACTGCACAGTAAACACTCCCATCCACTTGATTCTAATCAAACTTCTGATGTGCTCAGGTATTTATGATTGATCACTTGCAAAAACATTGTGCATTGCTGCTGCAGTGAAGCTGCTTGTTTGTTTTTCTTGCTGTTAGTTTTTTTTCTTTGTGCTGCTGCTATCCGTAATACATCACAGAGACAACATAAATTGCTGTGCTTGCAGTGATTAAAAGATGACTTTATCACAGAACAGCACAATTAAAAACAAACATCTCTAAGCCCTTCTTGAACTAATCAGTGTTGATTACAACTGAAGATATTTGAAAGACAATGAATTCCTCAAACCAGAAGAGAGTTTGAGGTGTAACACGCAAGACAGCGTGTAAATTAGTGGAAGACAGTTATCGTTGAGCAGGGCACTCCTGTGGAAACACTGAAATGCTGAAGTACAAGAGTCTAGACTCGTGTAAACACAGGGAACCTCTTGAGAAAATGACATTTTTTTTTCTTCATGAGTTTTTTAATACGTGAACCTCTTGATGTTAACTAAGCACAGACAATTAAAATTAAAGTTTTCCACTGAAAAAGTTTAGCTTTAAGCTGCTTGTAGTAATTCTGAAGGCATGTTATTTCAGAACGTTGATTAACCTATTTTATGTTTTTAATGCCAAAGAAACCAGATTATAGTATATTAGGACTGTAACATACGGGTAAGAAAATCTGTTGGCTTAATGGAAGCTTGTTTGCTTTTCAGGTTTGTTCTGGAACAGTACAATGCACTCTCCTGGCTAACCTGTGATCCTGCGACCCAGGACAGACGGTCATGTCTCCCAGTTCATTTTGTGGTGCTGAATCAGTTGTATAACTTTATCATGAATATGCTGTGATCTTCATCTGACGTTTGCAAGACAAAAATGAGGAAAAGGGATATTTCACTGCAGGACTAAGTTATAAATCTTCTCAGTGCAAGTTGTTTGTGATGGGGTATGAATCTTGTTACTTGGAGCAAATATTGGTGTGACTTGTGAGAGGGGCAGCTATCACCCTGCTGTCTTTGAGTCATTGACTATGGGGGACACTTTAGAATGATGATCCGAAAGTGTATTATAACATTTTTAGTAGCAAAATTAACCATTTTTCCCCAGCCACAGTATTTGTGAAGAGTAATGAGCCATAGTACCCAGTCATGGTTAATGAATATTAAAAGCATGGAAATGAGAAGAAACATGAGGAACAATTAAGTTTCAACCTATGGCTTCAGAACATCAAGATGTTCTTGTATTGGATTATAGTACCTAGTATTCAAAAATGCCTGCATCTCTTATTTATTGTAAGTTTTTAAATGTATAAATTGTCTTATATTTCTTAACCTCTTTTATAAAAATTTTCCTAGAAGGTTTATACTGCCTTCTTGCTTTAAAGCAATTGGTCTAAAATATATGTAATCGTCTTAATTAAAAGTTGCAGTAGGTTGCTTTTAGAGTATTATTTTTTTGTAAGGGGTGGGTGGGGACAGTAAATTTGTATTGTCTTGATGTACAGTTTAATGGGGATAGAGGGGTTAATGTCCATACCATTGTGTGTGGGGGATTTACAGCTAAGCTGTAGTTGCAGAGTACATGTACAGTAATGAAGTTCACTGTGTTTATATAAATTGAAAAGGTACCGGGTCTTACAGCATTTTATATCACACCTTTACAGAGTAACAATGGCAATATATAAGTGATATTGTAGGTGGTTTAACTTGTAGTGAGAATAAAATGAATAAACTCTTCAATTGAAGTTTGTGTTATGGTTCAGGGCTGTGGCTAGATTCTCAGATCCGTTTCCAGTATACAAGTTTGAATATCACAAGAATATCTATTGTGCATTCTTGTTACCAAGATATTCTTGGCACTGTGGTGACTGTGGTGTTTCCTTCCACGTTTGTGATAAAACCTGAATCTGAGGCGAAACACACAGAAAACTGATCTTATCCAAAGTGTCCTGTAAGGCTGAAATTTAGCCCAGCTCTAGCCATTTCACAAATGCAAGAATAGTCAATCTTGACTTTAAGATTGGTGTGTGTTTAACTAAAATGTGGTGTATATAGATTCTCAGTGAATTCTGGTATTCAGATTTTATTCCACTAGTAAAAAGAACAGCACGAAACCCTGAACATTTTCCTTTTTCATGTATTTTTGGCACTGTGGTGAAGGTCCCAAGTATCAGTGAATGGCCTTCCCCATATCCCCTTTTCAGGCTCTGGCTGGGGCACGTGCCAAGGAGGCTTCACCCTCCCTAAGGAAGGGACTGACAGATCCCAAGGCTTTCCTAAACGTCTCCCTCTATCTACAGTCACTGGTTTGTTTTTTTCTCAGCAGTTTTCTTCCTTTCTCCTTGCACATACCAAATGTCCGATGCTGCTCTAAAATAGCCCCTACGGGTGCTGAAGAGCAACTACATTTGTTTTTTCTGGGTTCCTCATTTGACTGCCAGATTAAAAACTGAACTCCTGCAGCACTCACGTGGGCCTGCTGCGATAACCCACGTCCTGGGTCTTAATACTGTCTCGCTGGTTTAAACTGTTAAAGGAGTAAGTTCCAAGAGCCATTTGTGCACCTGCTGTTAATCCTCTACAAGAAAGGAATCACATTTACAAAACGTAGTGTTTTAATGAAAATCATGTTTCGTAAATGCAAAATACCTGCCCGAGATAACGTTTCATATGAACAGTCTCATTGAATCATGTACATACAATATTAGCGACTTTTTGGGGTTTTGTATAAAGAGGTTGTACAATTGGTGATGAAAATTTTCAGTCATTCCTTCAAAATAACATGACTGCAATAGGAAGTTAGCATATTTTGATAGAGTTAAAAACTGGGTCTGTCTGTTCCTTTATCTTGGTAATGGCAACACACTGCAGATGAAGCAGCACATTATTGTCTTTCAGAAGGGTTTTTTTGCATTTGTCTTGAGATTTTTGAAGTGGAAAAGTGCTCCTAAAACTGGAATTTTCAATGCATATGTCTTTTTTTAAGCTTTGTTGCTAGGTGGTCATTTTTAGCCCTGGCTCAGTTTAGCCATGTTCCAAGGGACAGGTTTTGGTGTGGCTTGCTTTGAGGTAAATCTGACTTGTAGTCATAAAGGTAAGTGAATCAGCTGCCTGAACACTGGTGTAACTGTATCCTGTTACCTGGATCACAGCCTTCCCTGTGAAACTCTCCAACTGTGACAGCTGCCGGTTCCCCACTGCCCTGCCAATCCAGTTAAATTACTATATTGTAACCACTAGGTTAAAAAAGTTTAACTAGGAACAACTGTGAGGGCCCTTTCTGGAGTGAGAGTCACAGCCAGCAGGGTACATATCAGTATCAAACCTGCCACCACCATGGAGCCAACTACTACGTTGGGCATCCTTTTCTGTTTTGGTTTTTTTTTGTTAGTTACTTGCATTTAACTATTTTAAGTGCACATAACAGCTGGTTTATAAATAAAATTGTCACAAACTGGGTAACTTGGGTTGTTTAGCAAGTACAAGCTTAAATATTTGAAAAAAGCTTTTCAAAATGGGCTTGCAAGAAAACATTGCTCCTGGCAGCACTCTGCTAAGTGGCTGGTGGAGGTTTTACCTCCTCTGAAGTATCCAGTGAAAGAAGAATCTGAGATCCTTCCATTCCGATTAAAAATACGTATTTTAACCTAGATATTACTGTATTTAAGTCATTTTGTCACCTTTGATTCACTATTTGGATTTCTAAAAACCCTGTTGCTAGGCCAGTAGGCCACCAATTGTACTTGCAAACAACCCAAAGTTGTTTTTAAAGTAGCTGTAACATTTAGATCTAACATTTCCTGAAATAATTAAATATAAATGAATTTTTACTTAAATCCTCAGCTATGTTCTTACTTAGCTGTCAGTTATGGCGCAGATTATTGTATTTCTCTGTTTACCTCTGATGGTAATTTTAACTTCATGTGTCGCTATGAAGACCTGCAGATGTCTTTTAATCAAGCACTATTTAATGCTGTAATATCAAAATATTACGTTGCATTATTTTAAAGCTTTCAGAAGTAAAACGTTTGTTTTTTAAATGCTATTGCACCATATAATTTGCTGCACAACAGTATGGCACAGCACATCGGTCTGTTGGGACAGTAATGCTGCATACACGATGTTTTGATCTGGCTTTCTTTGGAGAATGCATGAGTGAGGTGACATTGAACAACATTACTGTCTCACCAACCTCCACGTGGGAAGGGTCTGGTTTGTCTTTAGAGAAGGACCCAGGACTCTGCTTCCTACTTAGCGGGTGGTTTTTACTTTGGTTTGTGGGTGTACTTCTTATTTTCAGTGAAGCTCCTTTCACCGCAGAACCGGAGTTGGGACCTAGCACAATCCTCAGGGTCACTGTTTCACGACGTTACCCATCAAGCTTTAGGTTTTCCCGAGCGAACTGGACGCGAGGCCCGGGCGCAGTGCTGGGGTCGATGCCGCAGCCGGGGCCTC